CCCCCCCCCCCCCCCCCCCCTCGGCCGTCAAAACCTTGTCCAAAACATCAGGCACGCGAACCTGTCGACGAGACACTTTTAGAAGCCGACCGAAGCATCAGCCCCCTCATCTTAAAAATAAACTCTTTTCGCGTACAATATACACACATTGTGTCGGAGCAACCACGTGCTCGTAGTTATATAAGTCATATAAATGACCGTGATGATTTTGCAAAGACACGTAAATATGAAACAACACAGAGATACGGCTCTCCTCGACTGCATGGACTTGTCAGTGAGTAGACGAGGGGGTACAGGGATACTGTGTACGACGAGATGCGGTAGAAGAGATAAGTGTGAAAAAGCTCACTGCCGAGACGGCTTCCAAGGCTGCTCGCGCTAGAGGACGTGGTGGTGGTAGATCGAGTAATGTCGACGGCGGGCACGCCACCTGTCTCATTGGGGCTGCGGGGGATACTGCTGCTGGGGGTTATACTGTTGCTGGTGGATGCTGCCGAGGACGGTCTTGATGGCGCTGGTCTTCAGGAGGCGCTTGAGCATGCCACTCGAGCCGCGGTGCTGCAAGCTCTTGTGGGTCGTGAGGGAGTTCTTGGTGCGGTAGCGCCGGTTGCAGAACTCGCAGACGTAGAGCGTGTCGGATTGCTCGTGCTTGTCCTGGAAGTGCCGCTTGAGCGAGTAGTAGCAGGAAAAGGTGCGCCGGCAGTACGGACACTCCTGGGGCTCGTTTATCCCACCTGACGTCGGTGGTGGCATGTGGTACACGGCTAAGGGAGCCGCCGCCGTCGTCGTCATTGCCGCTGTTGCCGGCATCCCGTTGCCCGTACCTGCAATCCAAACACACACGGGGCCACGATTGGCGCGGTTATTACCAGTCGCCTCGGAAAATCGCCGGCTTGCCCAAACTTTGCATGCTCGCTTTTTTTTTATTCTCATTGTTCGCCAGTCTTCGGTTCGACCGAGCTTTTACTCGAGAAACAACAAAAAAAAAATTGCACTTTTGTGCGCTCGGCAGCTCGAACCGAAGATGGGCGGGGACGCTGTTCAGAAAATTGGGTTAACAATTGATTAATCACTCGAGGTTTCAAATATCCCTTACACCATCGAAGCAACTTGTTTGGCCAAAACACGTGGTTGTTAAGTTAGCGTGAATTTCGTGGTTTTTCGATACACATATATACGGAACTCGATAGTGAGTACAGTTGAATTAATAGTATGCACTTGTTTGCCTTACGCTCATTTTTCATAGATTCCCAAGCACAGAAGAAGAAAGGCACTTTCATCGACAACACTTAGCATGCACACACAACAGCAAACATCGAAAGCCAACATAAAAATAACGTTACAAAAGCAAACACAAAATTTTGGAGGTAACAAATACGTGAATAAGCAAACAAAATGTAACGGGAGTAAAAGGGGAGTTAGTGAAATGAAGAAACAAAAAAATAAAATAAAATAAATAAATAAATAAATGAAAAAAAAAGATGTGTAGAGTGTTAATTTACCTTGCCTCTAAACATCTGCATTTTTTATGTTTTCGAACGAGACGAATGAAATAAAATTAATCGATTAAACGAACTTACCTGTAAGTGATTTTCTATCCTTATTATATTAAAGAGACTCGTTCGAAGACGTACCAATCGCACCCATAAGTATAATGAAAGATTAGTACCTACATTCTAAAGAATTGGGTAAATTATAAAAAAAAAAAAAAAAAAAACTTCTTC